TTTCTTTTTTCATCAAATTTCTGTTAGATGTCAACCTTCTGATTTGATCTAAGAAGAGTTCTTGTCACTTAGTTGAGAGAGCTCAGTTTTTTTTTTTGTTTTTGTTTTACTTTCTGTAGAATGTGTGATTTCTACATTTAAAGAAAATAAGGGGCTGGGAAGGTGGCTCAGTGGTAGAGCGCTTGCCTTGCATGCATGAGGCCCTGGGTTCAATTCCTCAGCACCACATAAGCAAAAAGAAAAAAGCTGGAAGTGGCGTTGTGGCTCAAGTGGTAGAGCGCTAGCCTTGGGCTGAAGATTGAGGGACAGTGCCCAGGCCCAGAGTTCAGGCCCCACGACCGGACCCAAAAAACAAAAACAGAAAAAAGAAAAGAAAATAACAGAGCTGGGCACCAGTGGCTTACACCTGTAATCCTAGCTACTCAGGAGACTGAGATCTGAGGATCATGGTTCAAAGCCACCTGGGGCAGGAAAGTCCATGAGACTCTTATCTCCAATTAACCATCAGAAAACTGGAAGTGGTACTGTGGCTCAAGTGGTAGAGTGCTAGTCTTCAACTGAAGAGCACAGGGACAGCACCCAGGCCCAGAGTTCAAGCCCTATGACCAAAAAGAAAAGGGCAGTGTGCTAGGGCCTTAAGCAAATGGACAGTTCTCAGGCCCTGAGTTCAAGCCCCACGACCAACTAAAAACAAAAGTCAGGGCAGGAATGTGGCTTAGTGATAGACTACTTGCCTAGCATGCATGAGGCCCTGGTTTGATTCCTCAGTACCACATAAACACAAAATAATAGTAAAATCATATAAAAATGTCAGTATTCTGGTTTAACTTGCTTTATTTTTTTACTTCCTTGCTCATTAAAGCATCCATAGTATTCTGAGGTGAAAAATCATGCTCGTCTTCTTCATGGCCTCCCCTCCACCCTTTGGTGTCTCATTTTAGTCTTTGAACCGAGGTTCTAAAGAGCTGAGTGGAGGAAGGTAGTGGTTAAGCTATGGATTTCACCTTAACCATCTTTTTTTTTTTTTCTTCAAGATCTCTTTGCTTTCTCCAGAAAACATCCTTTATCTGTTTATTTAATAAAACTTTTATTCCTACTGTGTCAGGCTTTTTTTTTTCTGGATGTTGTACATTTAAATCAAACAGATGAATAACCCTACTTTTGTGGATATTACATTTTGTAGGAGGGAGATAAATTGCCAAAATAACGAAATGTTGTAAAGTAAGGAACAGGAATAGAGATCACTAACAGAAAGTGGGAAAGAGCATAGAGGAACCTTGCTGCACTAGATTGGGCACTAAGGGAAAGGGCTAGACTAGAAATAGAATAGGCCAAGTTGGGAAACAATGTAAAGGTCCTCTGGTGGAAATCTGCCAGACTTGTGTATATAACAATAAAACAGAGGCCAGTACAATTAGCTGGATCAGAGTAGAAAAATATAGAGCATGCTGAGGACTGTGGGAAGGGGTGGTAATAGTGCAGAATGTGTTATAGCCTTCTGGGTCGTTTTAGACTTTTAGTCCTGTGAGAGATGGAATTTGGAGGTTCCTAATAAGCTGTTGAGTGTATTGAGTTTAGAGGAGAGATCTGTGCTATGCTATGAATCATCAAATATGTATGTAGAATTAAAAGCCACATAAGTAGAGAAAGTCTATTTAGGGAGATTAGAGAATTAAATGAAGATTAAAAAGAGAAATTCAGCTGGTTGCTGGTGGCTCAAGCCTGTAATCCTACACAGGTAAGTCTGTGAGACTCCAATTAATCACCAAAAAGTTGGAAATGGAGCAAACTGTGTCCCAATTGATAGAATGCTACCCTGAGCACAAAAGCTCAGCAATAGCACTTAGGCCCTGAATTCAGGCCTCAGTACCAGCACAACGAGGGGGGGAAAAAAGGAGGATATTCCAATTTTAGGGATTGGAGAGATAAGAAAAAATTAGCAGTGAAAATAAAAGAATAGCAAGAAAAATAGGAAAACCAAGATAATGTTCATTCAGAAAATGTAGATCAGGTTCAGTTACTGCTTGCTTAATTAGGTTAACTCACCTGACCATTGGGTCTAGGAGTGTAGCTCAGTGTCAAGGCTTGTGCTCGGCATGAGGCACTGGATTCAATCCTCTTCATTCTCCCACTCCCCCTCACTCCACCCTCCCCCCCCAAAAGAAATGACTATTGGGTTTAGGAATGAGGAAATCATTGACTTCATTGAGTGGTTTTGATGAGGACATTTGTGTATTGGTGGGAGGAGTACAGTAACAACAGCAGCAAAGCCTGAATGAAAAGAATTCAGTAAGTGGGTGGAAAAAGAAACTAGAGATGACTTAGTTAACTTTCAAGGAGTTTTGCTATAGAGAGAAAGTTGGGGTGACTAGTGGTCTCCTGTAATGAACAGATGTGTTGTGTGGGCTTTTATTATGAAAGCGTTGAGAAAACAAATCAGCTTCCCATTAAAAAAAAATCATCTTAGCTGGGCGTCAGTGGCTCTCTCAGGAGGCTGAGATCTGAGGATCATGGTTCATAGCCAGCCTGGGCAGGAAAGTGTGTGAGACTCATCTCTGACTACTCAAAAACTGGAAGTGGCACTGTGGCTTAAGTGGTAGAGCAATAACCTTGAGTGAAAGAGTTCAGAGACAGCACCCAGGCCTTGAGTTCATGCCCCAAAACTGGCATTAAAAAACCAACCAACCACAAAAACATGGTAGGACTTTGGGCTTTCATTTAAAAGTCTGAATTACAGTATTCTATGCTTAAAGGCTTAGGACCTTTCCTGTCTCTCCTTTACGGCTGTAACAAAATGGAACCCTAACACCTCTTTGGTGCAATTAAAGCCTGTTTTTATCTGCTTTGGTTTTCTGTTTCTTCCCTAAACGAGTTTTTTGTTTTGTTTTGTTTTGTTTTTTGTAAGTTCTTTCTACATGCCACATTCAGAGATTCTTTTTAGTGGAATGCATTTCCATTTATTGAGTCTACTCCAAGGTCTGTTTTTGATGATTGCAGATTTGCTTACTATGTATTTTCTGAATAGAGATATTAGCGAGAAGCGAGATATTAGCCCTTCTCACTTTGCTTTCTGCCACCTATTTGTGTATTCAATTATTCCACACAAGACAAGTAGACTATTTTACCTATCACTCACCTTAAAGCTGTTATAGTCATAACAAAGCTTCATAGTTCTCATGTAAAAAGTATGAGTGTATATCAGAACTTACAAATTTTTTTGTATGGAGTTTGGAGTTGCTGTTATAACGTCTAGAATTTTCTAATGCTGCTTAATTTGTAGTTCACATCTTAATCTCCATTGACCTTTTTGTTTTGAAGTTTTTTCTCTGTTATTTTTTCCGGACACCACTAAATAAAGCCTTTAGATAATTATTTTAAAAATCTTAGTAGCTCTGGGGGCTGGGAAGGTGGCTTAGTGGTAGAGCACTTGCCTTGCATGCCTGAGGCCCTGGGTTCGATTCCTCAGCACCACATAAGCAAAAAGAAAAAAGCCGGAGGTGGCGCTGTGGCTCAAGTGGTAGAGTGCTAGCCTTGAGCTGAAGAGCTGAGGGACAACACCCAGGCCCAGAGTTCAGGCCCTACGACTGGACCCAAAAAAAAAAAAAAAAAAAAAAAAGCCGGGCGCTGGTGGCTCACGCCTGTAATCCTAGCTACTCAGGAGGCTGAGATCTGAGGATCGCGGTTCAAAGCCAGCCCGGACAGGAGAGACCGTAAGACTCCTATCTCCAATAAACCACCAGAAAACCGGAAGTGGTGCTGTAGCTCAAGTGGTAGAGCGCTCGCCTTGAGCTGAAGAGCTGAGGGACAGCTCCCAGGCCCAGAGTTCAAGCCCCATGACCGACCAAAAAAAAAAAAAATCTTAGTAGATCTGGTCTTAGACACATACTTTATGAATCATTGACTTAATCTATTCTTTTAGTATTCCTTCCTTTCTGAAACAATGCTTTAATTTTGTTTCAGTGGCAGAGTGCTTGTCTAGCATGTTCAAGGCTCTGTTCAATCCCTAGCAACTGAAAGATAAAGATTATATATTCTCTTTCTGAATGGAGGTTTGTCCATTAGGTCACATTGGTTAATACAGTATTTTTTTTTATTGTGAAAATACTGTACAGAGGGGTTACAATTACATGAGCAAGATAATGAGCACATTTCTTATCAAGCATTGTAGCCTCCTCCTTTGTTTCCCCTTCCCATCCCTTCCCATCTTCCCCTCGTCCCCTTCCCCCTCCAATACAGTATTATTATAGTGTTCTGAATTATTGATTTTCTTTTCTTTTTTCTTTCTCTTTTTCTTTTTTTGCCTGTCCTGGGGCTTGAACTCAGGGTTTGGGCACTGTCCTTGAGCTGCTTTTGCTCCAGGCTAGCACTCTACCACTTGAGCCACAGCACCACTTCCAGCCTTTTCTGTTTATGTAGTAGTACTGAGGAATCAAACCCAGGGCTTCATGCAAACTAGGCAAGCACTCTGCCACTAAGCCACATTCCCAGCCCTTGTATTACTCATTTTCTTATCATATTTTAAAAATCAATTACTAAGAAAGGGGTGTTAGACTCTGCCAAATACTAAATTTTACTTTCTTACATTTTCTTAGATTTTACTTTAAAATCTCTTTATGTAGCTATTTCTATCATCCTGGATCTCATTATTCAGGCCTAAAGGTTGACAACACATTTTCTCAGATTTACATTCTTAGTGAATATCCAGAACCAAACAATCAAAAGCTTATATAGTTTTATAATTCATTAAAGGTTAGGACCTTTTTATAAATGTTGTTGATCTTCTCAATTCTCAAGCTTCTCTCAGCTTCTCATAGCTACACTGAACATTCTAAAATACCAGTTCATCTTTGAACTCTAGCTTCTGGCTACTGTTCTCCTTGACCTCATCTCTCACTGTTTTATTCCCATCACTGTGGCCTTTTTACTCTGATAGATTTTATTATAGCCAAGCACAAAGCTAGAGTTAGAATTTACCGTTTTTTTTCCCCTTTGCATTACAGGAATAGACTTCAAGATCAAAACAGTTGAATTACAAGGAAAGAAGATCAAGTTACAGATATGGTAAGTAATGCTAATTTATTTACTTTATGTAGCAAAATGCCAAGTTAGTCAATGTTTGGCAATGAAAGTCTTCCTTGTTACTTGTTTAGATTGTTATGCTTCCATTTATAAAGCAAGTGGACCATTCAGTGGAAAAAAATACATTGCTATGGACTTTGGATCCATGGGATCTGTTTTTTTTCTACTTGCTCTATAAACTTGGGCAAGGGACTTGCTCACTGTTAGGCTTTATTTCATCATATGTAAAAGGGAATTAATACCACCTGAATGAAGATTGTGTGAAATAATATAAAAGCCTTTGGGGAGCTGGGAAGGTGGCTCAGTGGTAGAGCACTTGCCTTGCATGCCTGAGGCCCTGGGTTCAATTCCTCAGTACCACATAAGGAAAAAGCTGGAAGTGGTGCTGTGGCTCAAGTGGTAGGGCGCTAGCCTTGAGCTGAAGAGCTGAGGGACAGCGTCCAGGCCCAGAGTTCAGGGCCTATGACTAGACCCCCCCCCCCCCCCCCCCGCACCCTCCCCCAAAAAAAGCCTTTGGTACTATGCTTTAAATATAAAAAGTTCCTTTATAATCTTTTTGTCACTTTGAAAGTCTTAAGCTAAAATATATTCCTTAAAATATTTTCCTTAAAATATTTCCTTAATTTTAATTTTTTTTACTGTTTACATTTTCCATAGAACAGTTGATTTATCAGAAAAGTAACCATATTAGACACTTCAAACCTACCTTTTCTTGATTTCTTTTTTTAACTATCTTGATGTAGTTGTTTAAAAAACATTCATGTTATTTATTTATTTTGTTTTGTTTTGTCAGTAATGGGGCCCGAACTCTGGGCCTGGGCACTGTCCCTCAGCTCTTCAGCTCAAGGCTAGAGCTCTACCACTTGAGCCACAACACCACTTCCGGCTTTTTCTGCTTATGTGGTGCTGAGGAATCGAACCCAGGGCCTCATGCATGCAAGGCAAGCGCTCTACCACTGAGCCACCTCCCCAGCCCCATGTTGTTGTTGTTGTCGTCGTCATCATTGTTTTGAAGGAGTGTCAACATCTGTATCTTGTACCATCAGCAAATTTTACATCATTTAGTCACCTAAAGTCAGAAGTTTCTTTTTGTGCAAGGATTAACCATCTACCTCTGTAAGGTGCTATGATTCTTCCTATTCCCTTAACTCCCATATCTAATTCATTAGCAAAATCCCTGTTGCTTCTCTCCCAAATATACATCTAGAATTCATGTATAGTTTTTTGGGTTTTTTTAAATTTTTATTTATTTTTTATTGTGAAAATACTGTACAGAGGGGTTACAATTACATGGGCAAGATAATGAGTACATTTCTTATCAAGCATTGTAGCCTCCTCCTTTGTTTCCCCTTCCCATCTTCCCCCCTACCCCCTCTACCCATCCCTTCCCCATTGAGTTTTTTTTTTAATTGTGAAAATACCGTACAGAGGGATTACAGTTACATGGGCAAGGTAAACATGCATAGTTTTATTATCTTCAATGTAACCCCTTGTCCTTGCCACCTTTACCTCTTCCTTGAATTTTATAGAGGTTATCATATCCTAACAGGTCTGTACTCCCATTCTTCACTTCTTTGAGAACTTTTCCACATATCGACTATATTTACCTTTCCCAAAACAATGTGATCGTAGTTGTCATTATTTCCCTTATGTAGATAACTCATTTGACTGTGTTGCATTTCAAATACAAGTTCAGCTTTCTGACCTCATCTTTGTGTGCTGCTTATTCTCCCCTTATGTATAATTTCTATCTCCCAACTGGTAACTTTTTTTTTTCTTTTTGGCAGTACTGGGATTTGAACTCCAGGCTTCATGCTTGCTAGACAGGTACTTTGCCACTTGAGTCATGCCATCAGCTATTTTGCTTTAGGTTATTTTTCTGATTGAGTGTTGCTTTTTGCCCAGAGATAGTCTCAGACTTGGGTCCTCCTTCCTATGGCTTTCTTAAATCTTGATCTTCCCAATCTCTTTCTCTTGAGTAGCTGAGGTTATAGGCATGAGCTTACTATGTCTGACCTACAACTGATATTCTTCTAATTCTCTTTACAATATACCCTGAAGATTCTCCAGACCCTTAAGCTACCCTGAACATTCCAAAGCACTCCTCTATGTCAGAGGCTCCATGTTTTGTCCCCTTTGATCTCGTCTCACTGCTTTGCTCCAACTACTGTGGCCCTTTATACTTTTTTCACTCCTCTGATTATGCCAGCATGTTCTATTCTACTTGGGATACTTCTCAATTCCTGTTACCTTCAGAGTGGCCTTGCCTGATGCCTAGCTAAAGAGATCTAGTTCTTCAAAGACCTATCACATTTTCTTTGATTTCTTTTTTTAACTATCTTGATGTAGTTGTTTAAAAAACATTCATGTTATTTATTTATTTTGTTTTGTTTTGTCAGTAATGGGGCCCGAACTCTGGGCCTGGGCACTGTCCCTCAGCTCTTCAGCTCAAGGCTAGAGCTCTACCACTTGAGCCACAACACCACTTCCGGCTTTTTCTGCTTATGTGGTGCTGAGGAATCGAACCCAGGGCCTCATGCATGCAAGGCAAGCGCTCTACCACTGAGCCACCTCCCCAGCCCCACAGGACTTTGCAGTGTCAGAAACGACAACATTTTAAAAAAATGTATTTATTATTGTTTCCCCTTTAGAATGTAAATTTTTTTTTGGTAGGTCTTGAGGCTTGAACTCTGGCCCAGGGCATTGTCCCTGAGTTCTTCAGCTCAAGGCGAGCACTCTACCACTTGAGCTACAGTACCACTTCTGGTTTTCTGGTGGACTAATTGGAGATAAGAGTCTCACAGACTTTCTTGGATTTTCTTGCCCTGGCTGGCTTTGAACTGTGTTTCTCAGATCTCAGCCTCCTGAGTAGGTAGGATTATAGGGTGAGCCACCACACCCAGCGAATGTAAACTTTCTGAGGATGGAGATCCCATTGTCTGTTTTATGCTTATATTCCCATTGTATAGAATACAGGCAGGCGAATTTAAATGCTTAGTAAATAACTGTTGACTGAATGACTTTAGTTGGTTTCTGTGATTCAGTACCTCCCTTCTCACCTTAAGCATCTCTTCAGTAGAACAGATCTCCCTTCTCTATCTATCTAAATTACTTCCCTCCTCCTTACCCCATTCTTTGTCACCCCCTACTTACCTGCTAGAGATATATCACAAATGTTGATTGTGTATTTATTTTCTTATTTTCTCCTGACCTCATTGAAGTTCTGAATGGGCAGGCTTCTTATTTGACTGGGGGTGGGTTAGGGGGAGGTCTTTTTGGATGAAGGTAAACATAATTTAAACTATCAAGGTATTTTAGTTGCATAAATATTAATAGCTCTTTAAAGAAACCCAGGTTTGTTAAAATAGTGCTCTAGGCCTGGCACTGGTGGCTCACACCTGTAATCCTAGCTACTCAGGAGGCTGAGATCTGGGGATAGCAGTTCAAAGCCATTCTGGGCAGGAAAATCTGTAAGACTTATGTCCAATTAACCACCAGAAAACAAAGTAGAGCTGTAGCTCAACGTAGTAGAGCCCTAGTCTTAAGCAAAAAATCTCAAGGACAGTACCCAGGCCCTGAGTTCAATCCCTATGACCAACAACAACAAAAAAAAACACATAACTTTTTCTAAAGTAATAAATAATTTCATAATATCACCCTCCAGAACAAAACAAAACCCCCAAAAGTTTATGAAATGTGTGGCCTTTGCCTTGCAGAACAGATTGTTGTTGCCTCTGGCCTGTTCAGTGCCCAGACTAAAAATAACCAACATTACGGCAGCTAGAGTACACAGCTTCCCTGACCCCACATATGAGACTGACAATTAAGGAAACAAGCTATTTTAGTTCCAGGGGACATATCACTCCTATGACATGTCATAGGGAAAAGTAGCAGTTCACAGCATTCAGCTGTAGCTCTTATTTTATGTAAGGAAAATTCTGCCATTGGCTTATATAATTTTAGAAACCTGATCACAATAAGTAGACTGGGAAGATACAATAACAGACAATAATTGAATGATTTTAAAAACAAGCTTTAAAGCCTTTTAGTGACAGAAAGGGAAGTTGTGAAAATGTGAAATTGTTCTTTAGATATTTAACATGTGTTTAGGGCCTATTAGTTTGAATCTATTAGATTTGATTAGATTTGGGCATATGTGTGTAGGCAGACTTAAAACCAATGTGTCCAGTATACAACATGCAAGCAGCGGTGGTCCTGAGCTCAGGGTTACCAGATATTCTTTGGTTTTAAATAAGTTGGTCATTGCCTTAACAACTGATGGAGCTTGGCATGATGAGAGTCCAGGCACATGACTCATAAGGATCATTTGAGATCAAGAAGACTCAAGGTATGTTGTGGGGCAGAGACCTATGCTGAAAAAATATACAAATATGAAGTCTACACACGTGAAAATGGGCTATAGAACACTAAAAACAATCAGAAGGGTGTGGTCAGAAAAAGAGGGAAAATGATTAGGTATAAGACACTTTGAGAGATGAAGGAGACAGCAGTCAAGGGACAGAGAGAGTAGTGTACCATGGATCAAAGCAAACTTACCCTGAACACAAACTAGCCATTGCCTTTCTTTTAGGAGGGGCCAATTTTAATTCATTATCTTTTATGTTGGTGTTTCATAACTCGTGGTATTGTAGTAGAAAACTCGCTAGATGCTATTGATGTAGGTTTAAATAAGTAACCATTTTGCAGTGTTTGCAGTTTCAGTGGAGAATTTAGACATGGATTTCACACTGAAATATGTATATAATTTGCTAATTGTGTGATGTGAATGAATGGGAACGAGGAAGTATTCGTATATAAGCTAGTAATGGGGGTAGTATGCAGATTCAGATACTGTGGAAGATCTCTCCAAATAGTTAATGCTTGGAATGAAATCAAAATGAACATTTCTTATACCTCTTACACTAAAGTTGTTAGACACTAATAGAAAACCTGGGTCCTATACACTCTATGTTTTAACTTGG